ACCCGATAGAAACCGGCGGGAGAGCTCTCGAGCAGCGGCTTCATGACTGGTTGCCTCTTTCTACAGCTGGGTAGACATTTTGATTGTGTGATAAGGACTTTTTGCATGCGTGGGAGGACCAGATTTATTGCACGATTAACTGGTTAATTGCATGATAATTAGTGTGCACTTGTGGCCTGTCTAAATTTACTGTGCGAGTAACTCGTTAATTGAGCAATGCATGTAACATGGAGCAGGGCCCTAGAGCTCTGCCCAGCATCGTTTCAATGTGAAGCCGGTGTGCACCTTCCAGCGCACTGCACTTTCCAAAGACAGACAAGTTTCTTTGAATAAATCTGGTATCTTTTATTACACCAACTCAGTTGGGCTAATAAAAATTACCAAATTTACCCAAAGAACTTTGTCTCCCTATGTTCTTAGACCAACACGGCTACGACCAACACCCCTTTCACTCTCCAATATGTTACAGCCTCATTACCCAGTCTTAAACGTCATGGTGTTGCTGAAATGTCATAGGAACATGACAAGGAAAGGACCTTCTGGTTCCAGTGCCAGGCTAGTTCAGGCATCCATGTCAAATAATCCTATGAATAGGTTGATCAAGGCTCAAGAAAATCCTCCACATCAAATGGGAAGACAGCCACACAAACACCAATATTTTTGCTGAAACCAGTTACCAGCCATGAGCTGGCGATCCTCAAGCACCAGCCGTGCTGAATTGGATGTGTGCAGATGTCTGACTCTTGACTCCCAAAACAAGTGCTCTACTCCCAGTTTAGTTATAGCCTGAGCTCTTGTGGTGGCCAGAGGAAATGGTACCAGGACACATCCAAGGCAGACCACAAGAAAACAGATGCCGACATCAAGAGCTGGGAAAAGCTGGGTGCCAACTGACTCCAATGGCACTGGAACCTCAACCAAGTGGCAGCCAATTCTGAGGTAAAACGCCTTGCTCTCAAAGCACGGGAGAGAGAGCAGGGGAAGGAAAATGAGCGAAATCCCAGCGTACATCCAACTCCGCCCTGCGGAAAGACCTGCAACTTCTGTGGGCGGATCTGTGGCTCAAGGATCGGACACTTAAGTCAACTCAAGATCCATCAATAAGATGTGGTAAAGATCATCCTCAAATCAAGGGATTGCCAACAACATTCATTAAGCTCCATTTTAAAACTAGTTAGGTATTTTGCCTCCACTACTCATATTGGAAGGCTCTTCTAGAATCTCACTCCTCTGATGCTTATAAGTCTTCTAATTTCCAGCCTAAATTTATTCAAGCCACATTGTCCCCAATTGTTATTATGCCAACCTTGTCCATTACTTTAAACAGCTCCCTTCCCTTCCTAAATTCTCCTATAATGTATTTATAGAGAGCAGTCATGTTCTCAATTTTCTTAAAATATCAATACAATATGATTTAATTGCACCAAAAATAATTCATGCTCCATATGCCAACATACTAGACTCAATGTGTTTTATGATGTGCTAAATGTCACCACACTGCATCATCATGATAGCACTGTGCCAATGAGCATCACATTTTTTGATTCCATATCATAATGCAACATGAAAGCACTACACAGATGTGTCAGTATGTTGAATCAAAACATCATGACAGATCTAAGACACTGCAGTAATATAACACCACACTTTAAAAAAAGCATAAATCAAAAGTGCTGCTGCTTCAAATCATCACAACTTTACACAACAACGTTTTTCTTGCACTGAAACTGAATATATGCTTGTGTTATGAAGTGATGCCATGGCATAAAAATGTCACGTGGTAAAACAGGACAAAGACTCAGTATGGCCTCACTCTGAGCTGAAGTTTGGACTTCAAGGGCTCAGAGGGTTTTGGAGACTGAAAGGGTTTTAAGACACCCGTGACCTTTCTAGAGACAGTTGTGAGGATTAAACTCAGTATTATTTGAGAAAACCCAAGACTGGTGATAACAGAAGGCTGCCATCATATGAGTGAGAAAACTGTAACATGATAGCTGGCAAACTGCAAATTCAGGCGATGGCAGGTGTCCAAATATCTTCAGTATTTTCACAAAGCCTCTATGATATATCAGGATCAGCCAGGTTTGAAATGTACATCATGTGGAGCCTTCCCAAGGTAACCGTGAGGAGGAAGACTCAGGCTAATGTAATGTCATGGCCTCCCTCCCCTAATGGTTAGTGTCCCCCAGCCTGTGACAGAGATGGGGCTGCTCCAAATGCCAGTGTCACGTCCGCAAACTGGAAATTAGAATAGCCCCAAATTTACGGGCCATTAGAACATGAATAGTTGAATAGGATTCACTGGGCAACCAGCAAACTAAGTATTCATGAGTCCAGAAGTGCCAAACAAAACCATTGGCATTAATAAAGTTGAAATCTATTAAAACTCAAGATGGCTTGAAGAAAATTATTTGCATTTTCAGTTTCTGATTTTTCATGTATTCCAAAATAATGACAATTTACGGGCAGTCCACATACAGATACAGGGATGGATGACAGCAAACACATCCGTATGTGTGATCATATCACCTCAATTGTATACCTTTGGCAGATCCAAATTTACCTGCATTCCACCAAAAAGCGTTAGCTCACATTTACAGCTGCGACATATGTTATTATTAAATACAGAATCATACATTTGAGCTTGCGTAACATTTACTATAAAAAATCTCACATTGAAGAAAAAATCATTTTCTGATGTCCTGTATCTTGAGTTTTATCCTGTCCATTTCCTTATGTCAAGGAAGAGCGTTTCCTGTCATTTTCCTTTCTGGATTTCAACCCGTACTGCCTTATTGTGCTGAAAATAGCAGCCACGGAGAGCGAGGGGCGTTTCGTTCCATCCCTGCAGATGGAAGTGGGATTGAATGCTTGACGGGAAGGGACAAGGAAGGGATTTTACTCACCCGCCCCTATGAAAAATGGATTGTTTGGGGGCGCCCATGGATTATCTCCGGCCAAAAATGTCCTTTTGTTTGGCAGAGAGGAAGGGCCAACAAGTGTGAGTGGTGCCAACTACCACTCCCAAGCTGGGCCTTGCTGCTCGTCACCACTACAACGCGTGAATCCTGCCTTCTCCCTGCGGGCAATCCTCCCGCGATGCCAACCCCAGCCCCGCAGAAAAGAAACCCTGGCGCCTGCAAGGCCGTTCCGCCGGCTCCACCTCGCACTTTGCCTCACGAGGTGGACAAGGAAGAGGTGCCTCGTCCAGCCCCCACGGAGCGCTGACACCAGGGGTTCCCGGGCGCGCTGGTGCCCCGCGAGGCCGGCGGGGGCGCTGGACGCAGCCCAGGGAACGATGCGGCCGGGCCCAGCGAGGAAGC